TTCTGCGAGTACAGCACCGTTACTACCGACTGCATTTTGGTTAATCAATATCTCCTTATCTTCATTTTTAGAATAATATTTCCCCATTGTTAGTTAAACGTTAGTTATTTTTCTTTAATATATAAGATTTATTTAATTCACTTCACGTTATAAAAATTAAACTGTACTAAAACTGGCACCGAGGCACACAGGAATCCGCTGCGTTGCGAGATTCGCCGGTCACCCGACACTCGCCCACGCCACGGCAAGGCAGGGTCGCCATGCAATGATGCGGGGAGCGGGGATGATGTAATGAAACACAACCGCTCCCGATAAGGTTCTTTATTCTACTCCTCCGTCACAATACTGTCCTTAATATTTATACTATGCTATACTTAATCCCACTACAGGAGCCTATATCCGTTCCTGTAACGTAGTCTACATACATATATATATATGTAAATGCAAGACAAATTTCCTCGAAATTTATAGGTGTTTAAGCGGTTTAAGAAGCTAACAAACAGACAGGCTTACCTTTCTTCTTCTTTTCCAGGCTTATCTATACTAATATTATAAATGTGAAAGTGAGTTTGCTTTTTTGTTTGTTTGTCCTTCTTTCACGTCAAAACGGAGTGACAGAGAGTAGAGGGCTGGAGAGTAACATAGGCTACTTTTTACCGTGGGAGATTATCTACTTGTCACGGTAAAACACGTTATAATACAATCCAAAAAAATATTTATGATCAGAATTACTTGAAACTTGGTATTAATGGTCTTCCATAAAATCAAATAAATACATGTTTTAACATTTTTCAAAATTCCTATAAGGGGGTAAAATAGGGCATGAAAGTTTCTATGAAACTATCCGTATATTCCGCTTTATAGATTATTTTGCAGTTTTAGCGCGAGCGATGCCGCGGGTTCTGCTAGTTTGTAATATTTTACTATAGAAAACGTTATTTTCATAAATTATACCTAAACCTTAGGTACGCCTACTGAATAATAATAATTAGCAAATATGAAAGCTTCGGATTAATGTGACTTGTGCCTTTGAGACTTATTCCATTTCGTCTGAAACGATATTATTCTACTCTATGATTGCGTTTGATAAGACTGGTCCGTTTATGACTCATATCTATTATAATATAACCTGCCTTATTCACGTTGTTAGATGTTTTCATAGTATACTAGCGACTCCACCTAGCTCCGCTCGAGTTCGTCCCTACTTACGTTTTACCGTTTAATATAGATTTCTCAAAGATGAGATATTTTCCCGCAGTAAAAAGTTTACTATATGTTGACCCGGATAACCAGCTATCGTCATACCAAATTTCATCAAAATCTGTCCAGTAGTGTTTTTCGTGATCCGGGTAGAGACAGACAGACAGACAAAAATTCTAAAAACTATAGATTCGGCCCTTGTATCGATAATCATGATTATTTCAATAAGATTTTCCAAAAAATATTTAATCTTCAGATTCGACTTAGTTAAAATTTTATTATATGTATAGACTACGTGATTTGTCCCTAAAATGTCTATTTATGGACAACGCTTATTATCACTCTTTACTTTTCTTTGTATCCCGACAAATATTATAATTAATACCACACTACTTTCACAATATTTAAGGTTTATAATTTATGTACGTGAGAGTTTGTATGTTAGTGTGTCTGTGTGTGCGCTTGTCTTTGATTCTATGACTATGTGTGTACATAGGCTACTATTAGTAATAAAAATTGCCAAAAGCTGGCGTTGTCTGCATAAATATAACACGAGCAAAGCGAGGGTAACTCTGCATTTTAATATATTAAGAGATAAGGAAATATAACTCTAAATAAAACTTTTTTTTCTTTAATATTGACAATATAAAATAAAATAAAATAAAATATGAATTTTGCCAAAAATAACTTAAAAGGGTGTACAAAAATACATAATATTTTCCCCGTCCAATTGTCCCTTTACTAATAAATTAGCTATACTTATTAATTTAAACTCCTTTAGTAATAACAAGATAATTTCAAACTGGCAAGTTTCAGCCAAAACTCCGTCTTTCATCTCAGTATAGTTTACCTCGAGTTATCGCAAATCGGCCCGCAGCCATTTCGTTAATTAAATAATTATAAAAACGACATAAATTATAATAAATTAGCATTGCCCGCGGCTCAGCTCCGCCCGCGTTTAGATGATCAAAAACCAAATTCTTAGGTTTACCATATTAGTATACTCTTACATTGCAGTTTTTGTATTTTTTCTCAAAAATGAGATATTTTCCCGCGGTATCCTATATGTTGACCCGGATAACCAGCTATCTTCATACTAAATTTCATCAAAATCCCTCCAGTGGTTTTTCTGTGATGCGGTAACAGACAGACAGACAAAAATTCTAAAAACAACAGATTCGGCCTCTGTATCGATAATAATGTCTATTTAAATAAGATATTCCAAAAAATATTTAATGTACAGATTCGGCTTAGTTACAATTTTATTATATATATATATATATATATATATATATATATATATATATATATATATATATTATATATATATATATATATATATATATATATATGTATAAATATATCAATATACGACTCGTATCATCTATATTCTAAGGACATTGTGGAGTAAAAGTTTCCGTGTGTCTCGAAACAGAGATAGCAACAACTTAAAAGATTAAGTATTGACGTGATAAATGAGACTTCTTTAGCAGTTAAACGGAAACTCTTCAAACAGTATGTAATGGAGAATGTTTGTAAGGTTGTGTAGTAAGTTGTCACTGCAAAGGATAATCATTTTTATATATATATATATATATATATATATATATATATATATATATATATATATATATATATATATATATATATATATATTTCTATTAAGCTTACCTGTATAAATTTTGTGGTAACTAATTAAAGTGTTAGCACATATTACCAGCATAAATTATATGAAACTAGCGAATTACTCTCGCGTCACTCAGGTGCGTAGGAACGTTTTAAATAGATAATAATTATAAATTAAAAATTAAAAAAACCCCCTACGCAAATAAATTGTCATTTAACGACTAGACTGGCACGCGTGAAGCACTTAATCGAGTAATCATAAGCCAAAATGCCTTACATCATTTTGGGAAAGAGCTGATACTCTTACACTGCTGGACCGATATTAACCAAACATAGCTAAGAACCACCGCAAGGAAACTGAATTTCAAATAAAAAAAACCGCATCGAAATCGGTTTATCCGCTTAAGAGCTACGATGCCACAGACACACACACACACACAGACAGACATCGATGTCAAACTTATAACACCGCTCTTTTTACGTCGGGGGTTAAAAATAGTTATTAGAGCGTACCTTATGAGATATACACATGCTATTGCGGACTTTTCTGTAGGCTTTTTTAAGATCTATAATTGTCCAGTACATTATTTTGATCTATCTAGAAAATTTTAGCCAGCAATGTAAGCGCAATAAAATATGGTTTTTATATTATAAATCTTTGAAATTCTTGTCTTTTCTCTACTATAACATGCATGTGTTATAAATGTATTTTGGAACTCTCAAAATTCATTTCGTGGCTTAAAAGAAGTTAGCGGAGAAACAGACAGACGAAAGCAACGACTTTGCTTTTAACTATATATAGAACTGTCTTCAAAACACAATTTCAGGCTTTAACAATAAAAATCTATTATAACTTGTTTCATTCGGATAAATAAAAAGAAATAAGGCCTCTTAAACTTAAATTACATTATTATTCTCGCTAAACTTAAAATATATATTAACCTTCAGCACGAATTCTTATAAGTATCTACACAGGCTGTATAAAATTCTAACTAAACCAAATCTGTACATTAAAATTTTTTTGGAAAATCTTATTGAAATAGACATTATTATCGATATAGAGGCCGAATCTATAGTTTTTTAGATTTTTTTAACTGTCTGTCTGTCTTTTAGTTTGTCTGTCTGTCTGTCTTTTAGTCTGTCTGTCTGTTACCGCATCACGGAAAAACCACCAGAGGGATTTTGATGGAATTTAATATGATGATAACTGGTTATCCGGGTCAACATATAGGATAATTTTACCGCGGGAAAATATCTCATTTCTGAGAAAAAAATACAAAAACTGCAATGTAAGAGTATACTAATATGTAAAACCTAAGAATTTGGTTATTGGTCATCTGAACGCGGGCGGAGCCGCGGGCAATGCTAGTTAATAAATAAAATGGAATTTTGTGACGGCGCGACGTGTACAGAATACGCAATCATTTTTCAAGCTGCATACGTAATATTTCATATTATGCAGTTTCGCCTCCATAAATTTCACTGTTATGAATCGGTAATGGATAACAAGATTTTCGTTCTTTTTCATTTTGATTGTTATTATCTCTGTAGAATGCGATATTCTTTGTAATCTATACATATAACAAAATTGTAACTAAGCTGAACAAGTTCTAGTTGTTTGTAGTTTAATGTTTGTAGATTGAAGACTTTACCGACAATTTTCTTACAATGTCTTCCAGCTCATTATTTAGGAGAGAGCTAATGAAAATTACTACTAAATCAAATTATTTTTGAAATATATAGTCTACTACTACTGAATCTGATGCTTTTTAAGCCAAAAAGCTGGAATGACGGCAACAAAATTATGCGCCGTGCTTTATAAAAAGATCAGATTCCTTAGAGTTGTAAATATGTAGATATTAATAAATATATATTCGAATACCCTATTTATTACCACCAAAATATAACATGGGTTATAAAATAGGTTGACTCCCCAAACTTTCAACCCCATTTTTACCCCCTTAAGGGATGATTTCCGGGATAAAACTTTCCTATGTCCTTCCCAGGGTCTCAAACTATCTTCTTATCAAATTTGATCTAAATCGGTTTAGTAGATCTAGAGACCCTACAACGTCACAATCTCACAAACTTACAATCTCACAAGCTTTACACAAATTACCTCTTTATAATATTAGTATAGATAAATAATATAAAAATTTTCTTTTTTTTTCTAGCTGAGTGCGCTCCGACACTCGCATCATGGAGGCCCAGCAGTGAAGTCACCAGTGAACCAATCCCACAAAAATCTAACGACATTACCCATATTATATACGACATAAATGATATAGTACATTTTGAAGACAACGACATTGTTATGAGAGATTCAAAAGATAATAACAAATTAGATAATTCGATCCAATTCAAATATAACGATGTAAAGGCTCAGTTTGTTAAAAATAAGCATTTCAAAGATGATGTCAAAAGTGAAAGGTTTATAAATGATCTCGATAATGATCTCAAAGGGGACGATTTGAAGAATGACGACTGTGAATGCCAGCACGGGGGAGGGTGTGTCTCTCACGTGTGCCTGTGTCCTTTGGGGTACGCCGGAGAAAGATGCGAAATTACTTTGGATTTGAAGGTATTTAGATTTCATTTCTTCTTTTTTATCTTATTAAACAAATAAATAACAAATATGTTGGCACATTAACACACAGCACCATCTAGCTCCATAGTAAGCAACGAAGCTTGTGTTATGGATACTAGATATTTGATACACTACACATACTCGTATATATCTTTGAATTCCTTAGCGTTTATCCATACTAATATTATAAATGTGAAAGTGTGTTTGTTTGTTTTTTTGTTCTTCTTTCACGTTGAAACGGTGTAACGGATTAGCGTGATTTTTTGTGTGGTGATAGTTGGATGGTTGGAGAGTGACATAGGCTACTTCTTACCGCGGGAAATTATTTCATTCCAATGGGAAAACACGTTATAATACGTCCTAAAAAAATATTTATGTTCAGAATTACTTGAAACTTGAAAAAAAAAATCTATGCTCTACAATACAATTAAAAAAAAATGTTTATCATTTTTAAATTTTATCAATTTCTATTAAAGCATGAAAATGTAACGGACAGACAAAATTACTCTCACATTTATAATAATATGAGTATGATACCTATAGGGATAGTATTTGGAAATGGCACTTTAAAAACTACAATCCTCCAAACTATTCAGAGTTAATTGTTTAAACAAATAAAAAAATTTGGACGAGCTAAAGATTACATAATACGTTTTTGTTTTCGAGAAAAGCTCGACGTATAATCTGTTATATATCTTTTTAATATAATTATTATGATCTCTTTGTGTTGGAAGAAGTCGTTAATTGCGTTCATTGTCTTCGTCACGTTCATAAATTACGTCGTTTATACTCCTTAAGTAGTATCGCCCATTCTTTTCTTTATAATTAACTATAGGTGGACATGTCTCCGTTTGAGGTAATTTATAGCTTTAATTTACTAGATAATATATTTAACTTAGGTCTACCGACCTACTTCAATATATTTTTTTTTAATTTTCAAGAGAATTTTACTAGCCTATTTATTAAGAGATATATATAAAATTTCTTTTTTTTCTGTAAACTATTTGAAGTGATCGTTGATTAAATTAAAATATATGCTTACAACTTAATATAAATCAAAACAAGTTCGTTTTCATTTTGATATTATCACTTAAAACCTATACGTATAATAAAATTGTAACTAAGCCGAATCTATACATTAAATATTTTTTGGAAAATCTTATTGATATAGATTTAGTTATCGATACAAAGGCCGAATCTATAGTTTTTAGAATTTTTGTCTGTCTGTCTGTCTGTTACCGCATCACAGAAAAACCACGGGAGGGAATTTAATCTTCATACTAAATTTCAACATACCTATAGGATACTTTTTACCGCGGGAAAATATTTCATTTCTGAGAAAAAATTACAAAAACTGCAATGTAAGAGTAAACTAATATGTAAAACCTAAGAATTTAGTTTTTGGTCATCTGAACGCGGGCGGAGCCGCGGGCAATGCTAGTATACAAATAATAAATAATAAATTCAATATAAAATGTAGTAAAATATCCACTAATTAGGGCGCATCGCCATAAGAAAATATTACAGAAAATGCATTAAAAGTTTCCATTTTCTTTTTAAAATTTACACATGAATTTTCAAGTAAATTGCCCGCGTGACTTCTTAAACTCGCTCCAGACGGTAATGAGTCTAAATCATATAAATAAAGTGTAAAATATTTTTAAATTACACGTTTTTATGGAGTGACATACGCTTACCAGTGAGTCACTACTGAGATTAATAGCTGGCAAAAACGTCTTCTGCCCGATTTCACCAACAACCCATAAACTACCTACCACCTACGTATGGGATCCCTAGCTTAAAAGTCCCCTAAACTAGCCCCTAAATTAAATTTCGTTTTACCAACGTCTTTAAGCCCATATTTCGAGCATCTAAATTTAGGGGGCCTTTTAATATTTAGGTGACCCCTAACCCTAACTGTCGGTGAAAGAAAAACTGTCCCCTAACAGCCCCCTAACCATGCTTAGGGGATCCCTTAAACTTAGGTGACATTGATGAAATCGGGCATTCGTCTCGCATCTACATACGTACATTTAAATGAAATACTGTTCGTTTGTCAGTGCTTGATTGAACGGCTAGACTGATTTGTTTACTTTGTTTGGAAGTTCATAATAGTGCTATTTGCACTTTCTTAGGGGAAATATTGAAAGTTGTCCGGGAAATTGGGGTTTTTTGCTGGTTTTTTGTATAAACCTAAAGATCAATGCTGAGGGAACATTTACCGAGTCAGCTGGTATACTCTTAGGTTAAGTGAAAAAACCACACAAATTTTGATTTGTCTGGTTAGTGTTGTTACTGTTATTCTTCCATACAAATAAATATATATATATATATATATATATATATAAAACAATATATATATATATATATATTACATAAAAACAAATTAAACCAAAATATTATATACCACGTAATTTTCAGTATCTAGGCGGTTTCGCTGGGCGTTTTTTCGGAATAGATATAAAAATCGCGTTTTTTCAGAAAAGACTATATAGATAAATATATTATAAACAAAACCTTATCTAAATACAAAATTTGAACAAGATATACGGTTTTTAACCATAGATCGAACATACTGCCTTTTACTTGGTAAGAAGTAGCTTAGAAAATACAATGCACTACAGAATTAATTCTTTCATTTATTTACTTAAATACCTTTATGGTTTTCGGAGATAAGTGGCATCGCTAAAATACGTCTTCTTAATTGGAACGTCTGCCATTTACTTAATGTGCTATTCGTCTTGATTTGTTTTATTTTCTTATTTTTGAAATTATACTTCTTTTGGCACGTTTGAAAAAAAAATATGAGAGTAAATTTTTACGATGCGCGCGCACACCGACAGCCAAAAAGCGACATGATGAAGTTAGATGCATTCCTTTTACAAATGGTGAGTTGTGACATACGGGATGAAATCTTTAGGTATTTTTGTTCTGTTACTCCAAAGAAGTATAACTTCTTACGTGCGTACATACAACACACGTTTTTTTATATTATTTTTTGGTTTGGTTTAAAATCTCCCGTGAGTCGTGACCATGATTGCTGTAAAGCAAACGAAACATTTGGAACCAGAAATCAAAATAAATCTGCGAAAATATCCGAAACTTCTATTTAATGCATAGATTTTATATGTATATTACTAGCATAGTATTATATGATATGATTATATGATGATGGTATACTTATGTACACTCTATTTATTTACACCTTTTTTTTGAGTAAGCAAATAATAATATTTCATTGCCCGCTACATACATACATATTATGTATTATGTAAATCCATACTTCCATACTTTAATATTATAAATGTGAAAGTGTGTTTGTTTGTCCTTCTTTCACGTCTAAACAGAGTGACGGATTGGCGTGATTTTTTGTGTGAAGACAGTTGGAGGGCTGGAGAGTGACATAGGCTACTTTTTATCGCCGGAGATTATCTCACTCTCAAGGGAAAACACGTTATAATACAACAACAAAAAATATTACCTGAATTACTTGAAACTTGGCATTAATGCTCTTCAATACAATTAACGAAATACGTATTTTAGCATTTTTCGAAATTCATCCAATAAGGGGGTAAAATAGGGGATAAAAGTTAGTATGAAACCTACCTTTTTAGAGTTTTTTTTTAGTTTTAGCGCGAGCGAAGACGCGGGTTCTGCTAGTATATGTATAAAAGCATAGCATAGATGTACGAAAATATTTAATAACTATTCCATAGTTAACACTGTTTTCGTCGATATCTCTCAAACCCTTTTGTCATTCCAACATCTATATATATATAAAAGAAAGTCGTGTTAGTTACTTCGCTTATAACTCAAGAACGGCTGAACCGATTTAGCTGAAAATTGGCAGGGAGGTAGTTTAGAGCCAGGAGAAGGACATAGGATACTTTTTATCCCGTTCGACCGCGTTCCAATTTTTATGATATTTTAATTTTTGGATTTCTCTTAGTCCGGAATAGGTAAGTATTAAAACATATAATTAAAATGTGAGAAAGAAAGATTTTTTCTTTTTATATCTATTTAAAACGTACCTAGCGACGAACCCGAGCGAAGCGAGGGTGAGCCGCTAGTAAAATATATTTTCAAAGTAGTCTACTTAATTTGTGACAACTTGTCACTCCCTATGGGCTTTTTAAACGGTCTGGTCTTTTGGATTTTAATCTAGATTAGATCAAATTAAAACTTTTAGGATTCGGAATATTGGTAATTTATAAATGAACAGTATTTTAAAATCACAAAATATTTACTTATACTTAATTTTTTTTATAAGTAATTCATTTTGTAGCTTTGCCTAATATAATAAATGTCAAAGCTTATGAAAAAGTTTTGGATATTTGGATCTCAGTTACATTCATGGATGATTCTCTCTCTACCACTCAACTATCACTATACACAATCGTACATCAAAAGAGTTGTATGCTTCAATTATTTGTGTTTAAAAATGCTTGCCTCAAGCGAAATAGGGTTGGGCATTAATTTAACATAACCATTCTATTTTTGAATACGATTTTCCATTGTAATACCAGTAGTTCCGTTTTTATTGTGTCTTTAAGTGATTGCTTGGAATTTAGTTTTTGTTGAATAAATATGTTGGGACATTAACACACAGCACCATCTAGTTCTATGGTAAGCTACGAGGCCTGTGTTATGGATACTAGATAGTATCTAGCACATATGTAACTTTAAATACATGCATATTATAAATATAAATACCCATAGCTGAAGTATAAACATTCGTGCTCATCACACATATAAATGCCCCCAGCGGAACTCGAACCCGCGACCGCTGGCACAGCAAGTGGAGTCATTACAAACTGAGCCAAACGTTTCGTCAATGGTTATGTAGTTGTTATAGTTTATTAACGGCTTAAAGTGCGTCTTTAGGTACGTTTTGTAGGTTATCGACCGGCAATAAAAACTGGCCTATGGCATTCGGCGGTAATTTATGTACCTTTTAATAAAAGAAATTTTTACGATCCAATAAGTAGTTTCAGAGATTACCCCCTAAGTACAAACTTACAAACTTTTCCTCTTTATAATATTAGTGTGGATATTTAAGTAATAACATATTATGCTATTTCTTATTATTATATATACATATACATACATACATACATACATACATACATATTATACATATGTATAATAATAATAAAGAAAATTTACTAACTACGTTTGAATTATAACTTTGAAATATGGAACAAATGGCTTTATATACTATTTATATGCTATTTCAGGTACCGAAATTTAACGGCTCTTCGTATCTGCGACTGCCAGGATTAGGTAATACAGCCCAATCTTGGCTCGATATACAGGTATGTACAATAAGTATATAATATATAAAATTATATAAAAAGGTTGAATGTTTTCAAAATTCTTTTCAAAAGGATTTTTGTTTATTAATGATAAAAAATTTAAATTTACTCGGTAGTCGAACACTAAATATTTTGTTTTTATTATTAGTTTCCCGCATTTTATAACATGAAAAATTGCATATCTATATAAATAAAAATGAATCACCGAAATGTATGTATGTACACGCATAACTTCCGATCGACTGCACCAATTTGGATAATTTTTTTTTGTGTTTGTTATTGTCAGGACTATTTTTGTATGTAAAAAAACTAAATGTTTTTTTTTACTAGAATAAGATTTTTTTAAATCTCATGATATGAAAAGTGAGTGAGTGAAATAGTTTTTATCCCGGAAATCATCCCTTAAGGGGGTGAGAAAGGGAATGAAAGTTTTGTATGGGGAAGCAAGATAGTGACGAACCCGAGCGAAGCGACGTTTTAATAATAATAGACACACAGTCGTACTTTACCAAAAGTATTGGCTTAAAATAGAGCTAAAGCTAAAAATATACCGGTTAAAGAACCTTTATTATTTAAGAAATATTCCCTAGAACTGATGTTATTATTTCTTCATATTTTATTTACCTTTCACGACAAAAGCCGAGTTAAATAATAATCAAACAGCAAACTTCATGAAGAAGTTTTCAGTATTATTTACTCGTACAATAATGTAGTTAAATTAAATGAAGAAAAATGGTAACCAATCTTTTTTGTACATCGGGACAAGTCCTGTTTATTAATTTATGGCGATTTTACTTGAAGTATACGTTATACAAAAAAATACTAGAGTAATTACCAATTCCATCCATCAAACCAATTCACAATATGGTAAAAGGCTTATCCAGCATTAGAAATTTGAAAAAAATACATTTTTTATATGCAAGTTATATGGGAAAATTTCAAATTTAAATAGTAAGTACTTAAAATTGAAATTAAGAGCTCAAACTTGGTGAGATTTTTTTCTTTTTTTTTTGTAGATTAATGTTTTACTTGAGCATCGAGAAAAAATTTTTTTGGCGGAAATGAATCACCCTAATCTATAAACAACGAATATTCTAAAATCTAAAACTTATATACGTCTAAATAGGTTTTCCTTATACAAGTTTATATAATATATTATTTAAAATTAATTAATGATAGCAATCTTGTCATTTATATGTCCTAAATCATCAGTATCAATGGTGACCCTATATCAGAATGCAGTTTTACGATCAACTGCCCCTAGAAGTTTCTTCAGAACTCCAATCAATGCACTCACAAACTTTCATATTTTATTTACTCCCATTGTTAACTGGGACCGAGGAAACGGAATAATGGCCGTAGCAATATTTCATTTTCGATTTTATTTCATGGAAGAAGTTAGTTATGATACTTGTAGAACAACTACTCGATGGTCGTCGTTACTTTACAATTGTACTTCGATATTTCTAATAACAATTCGGATTGAAGAATTATTACTAGATTTTACTTTTTTACTTTCCTATAAAGTGTGTTCTAATTTTATATTTTTAACGAGAGATAACAAGGGCAGTGGTACAAATCGCAATCGAGGTCCCATTGTATTCTTCAGAAAGCTTCCTTTAGAAAACAACGTGCGTTCTTCGATAGCTTTGCTTGTGTCACGATATATTTTCATTATTTGTTATCTTGTATAAAATATACATTTAACCTAATAAATACTGTAATAAACAAATTTTATTTAAAGTACTCTTTTGATAAAGATTCGATTTTATAATTATATATTTATATTTTGAATTACAAAAAAAAACATCTAAACATTGATTAAACATAAAGACAACCATATCTGCTAAAATATAAAATTCGAATACAGATACATAGTATGGTGTCCCGGACTCCTTTGTAGTACTATTAAGCTCTACATATTTACCATATTATATTGTTTTTACTTATTCAGCGCAGTTAGCACATTTTCCCACCTTCTTTAATACCTCAAAAATTGCTATGACTATCTTTAATCTATATATAATAAAATTCTAACTAAGTCAAATCTGTACATTAAATATTTTTTTGGGAAATCTAATTAAAATAGACCTTATTATCGATACAGAGTCCGAATCTATAGTTTTTAGAATTTTTGTCTGTCTGTCTGTCTTTCAGTCTGTCTGTCTGTCTGTTACCGCATCACGAGAAAACCACTGGACAGATTTTGATAAAATTTGGTATGATGATAGCTGGTTATCCGGGTCAACATATAGGCTACTTTTTACCGCGGGAAAATATCTCATTTCTGAGAAAAAATACAAAAACACAAAAACTGCATTGTAAGAGTATACTAATATATAAAACCTAAGAATTTTGGTCATCTAAACGCGGGCGGAGCCGCAGGCAATGCTAGAGTACAAAAAATAATTCAACTTGGAGAAAAAGGCACATGCCTACAGACAGACGGTCACCGACGACTTGAAAGATTTTTTTTTAAATTACAAAATATGTTTTTAAGATTTACCTACCTTCTTATATCATTTATACATTTACATATATTAATGTTACATAGCAATAAATAACAAATCGATACAAGCAGTGCCAGTTATTAACATACTCGTATATTGGAACTTTTTTTCTTCCTTATGGGACCACTTTCTAAAACTTAGTGGTTATAGATAACTCCTACAAATGTACATATTTCAAATTATATATTATTGTAATTTTAAAGATGTGATTAAAATAAAAGTAATGCATGTAATGTAATGCTTTATTAGGTATATGTAAATTATTATTAATGATTAGGCTGTTGCTATTCGTCCGATAATCGGATGAATAAAAAATATAGGTATTATTCGTCCGACTATTATCGGTTTGTACGAATATTTACCACTTTTTTTGTTTCCTAATGTAAAATAAAAGATTTTTAGGTGCAGGAGTTTCTATCGAGCTACTTATTCTACTTATTTATATGTCTATTCGTCCTTCCTGGACGAATAGTTATTTTTTATTCATCCTATTAAAGGACGAATAGACACTGTGATGATTAAGGATAAATAAAAGGCTTATTATTTTTTTATAGATTACTCTTAAACCAACCAACGGCGACGGTCTATTGCTGTACGATGCGGAACATCCGAGTGGTGATGGAGACTTCTTCTCATTGCATTTGCGAGATTACTTCGTGGAGTTTGCCTTTGACCTAGGATCTGGTATCGCTCTTGTGAGGTAAATATTGACTTTTTTTATTTTTGTATACATGTACTTAGTGGCTTGCTCTCTAGGCAGTGGATAGCGAGTTCGATTTCAGCTCAAGTTGGGAAATAGTACACAATATAAAGATGGACTATGTCCAGATTAACTTATGAATCTTTTTTTATTAGTTACTAACTAACTACTTTACCCTGATAACATATTCGATTTTTTATGGTATATTTGCTCATGGTGCGCGTTCGTATTTTTACGAACGCAAGGAATCTGCATTTTTTAAGTTTATTAACATAGAATATGTACAGACGACGGAAATGGATTATATGCGCATCGTCAGCGCGTTTATGGAGCTTAATATCAGTAGGCTCTTTTTAATTTATTAGCGTATAATACGCACAGCCGATGTGCGTTCATGATACGCACGTCAATGCTATGTTGTGTGCTTAGGCCTTTAATGCCCTTTAAATTAACACCATTTTAAATTCTTAATACTTTCATTTCAGATCAGCTTACCCTCTAGAACAGAACAAATGGCATCGTATATCAGTAAGTCGGTCTGGTCGCCGAGCCTCACTCCGTGTTAGATCTCGCGACACGGACACGGATACGACGAGATCGGTCACGTCCCGCGGGGTAGCGAGACATCTGACACTACGACAGCCTATGATGTTAGGGGGTGCCCCGCATCCGTTACCGCAGAGACTAGCGTTAAGTACATCGTTTAGTGGATGTGTTGGAAAGGTTAGTCATTTTTTTATACTTATCTATACATACAAATACATAAAATGGAAGTGTGTGTCTGTTTGAAATGTCAAAATAACATCTTTGTACTAAATGCATATAAAAGTATATACGGTAGATACGTAAGAAAAACTATTTTTTTTTTAATTTTTGTCTGTCTGTTTATTCCGGCTAATCTCGAAAACGCCTGGACGGGTCAATGAGGTCGGCTGTCGTAAGATCAGTCTGGTGGGCATTATTATTATCATTACATTATTATTATTTTGTTGTCTATAAGCATGCATATAACAAAACGTTTAATATAATTATTGTTATTTCTAAGGTATTCTATATTTTACATATTTTTGTTTCTCCTTAGCTCGTAATAAACGACGAAGAACTATCAGTAGTTTCGTCGGCACTTGGCGGCGTCAATGTAGACAATTGTGACGAGCCACACAACGATACTTGCCAGTGAGTTTCTTTTACAATAGCTTTTCAAGCTACCAAAAAAACCTTATATCTATAAAATGCTAGTACAACAGTTGTGTCATATAAAACCACGTATTTCTAATTTAGCGATAGATATTTTCAAAGAAGGCTTGTATGTTGTTTTATCAATATCATAAACACTTGGAATAAATAGAGCGTTAGGTATTCGCCTCAGCGAAATCTAAAAGTAAAAGAGATTATAATGAATGTTCTTCAATTTTAATATACTAAACTACATAATATAAAACTGACAAGTGAACTGTGATAATAGTATTATTTTAATATTTTTCAGTGACGCTATATGCAAAGAAATTTTAGAACCAATGCCATTTTACCCCCAAAATCTAACAAACGACGACATCCATCACACAATAGTAGCAAAAAAGGGGTTCAAACTAAAATATCATAAAGTGAAATTGAAAAAACACTCCCAACGCTACCATTTGGAGAAATATAAAAAGAAAAAGTACCTATCAACAAAAAATCATCTAGTTATGCAAAATGATGTTGAAAAAAAGAATGACGTAATGACTGAAGGACCTATTTATGATGGACAGACGTACATGCAAGTAAAATATCTGGATACAAACGAAATAAACTGGGGCGATACTAATACGTATCCCAGTTTTAGTGGGACGGACAGTTTTATTCATATAGATGATGAAGAAACTATAAAAAGGTATGTTAAAATATTTTTTGAAAAATCCTATTGAAATAGTTGTTATTATCGATACAGAGGCCGAATTTATGGTTTATAGAATTTTTGTCCGTCTGTCTGTCTGGGAACGCATCACGAGAAACCACTGAACAAATTTAGATGAAATTTAGTATGATGATAGCTGGCTATCCTCGTCAACATACAGGATACATTTTACTGAGGAAAAATATCTTATCTCTGAAAAATCTATACTAACCATTAAAAGGTACGAACCCCAGCGGAACAAGAGTGAGTCGCTAGTCTATACATATAATAAAATTCTAACTAAGTCGAATCTGTACATTAGATATTTTTTGGAAAATCTTATTAAAATAGACATTTTTATCGATACAGAGGCCGAATATAGTTTTTAGAATTTTTGTCTGTCTATCGGTCTGTCTGTCTGTCTGTTACCGCATCTGAAATCTGGTATGGTGAGAGCTGGTCCGGGTCAACATTAGGATACATTTTACCGCGGGAAAATATCTAATTTCTGAGAAAAAATACAAAAACTGCATTGTAAGAGTATACTAATGTGTCAAACCTAAGAATTTGATTTTCGGCCACCTGAACGCGTGCGGAGCTGCGTGCAATGCTAGTGTATGTATATGTTTAATACTCCTTTTATTAACTATGACAGTGACAGAACTAATTAATTTAGCGCCAATGGAATCTTTTGATTAATATTTTGTAAACATTATTTACACAGTAGTTACACAGACTAAATACTAAATACTGTTAGGTCGAAGTTCTGCGTCTAACCAATAAGAAATATACTTACTCATCGCCAAGAGAGATCTATTAATTTTGTTTAATTACACGATTTGGAATTGTAATCAAATACTTGTTTAAAAGCGAGAACAGTTCGAGTGTTCGACTTCTGTTTGATAAACAACAAAAAGTATGCTTAAACTTCATTTTATTTATATATATATATATATATATATATATATATATATATATATATATATATATATATAAATTGGAAACGATTTTTCCTTTGTCACGCCATCTTGTAAAAACTACAGAACTTATCGGTATAGACTTATCGGCAATTGTATGGGACTTTGACGAATGGCTATTTATTTTTTAAATTCCATGCACACTTCACAATTATTATTTACTTTTAATGAATATTTTTCCCGCCATTAAAAACAAAGACGTTACTTTGTTTTATTTTTTCTGTTATTCACCACTCCTTAAAATAAATTTATTTATATACTAGCGACTCACCCTCGGTTTGCTCGGGCTTGTCCCTATGTACGTTTTAACGGTTAGTATAGAGTACATAGTCCATCCCTTGCTCTGTAAAAAACAAAAACAAATCTTTCCCACGGATAAAAAGTACCCAATGTGCTATTCCAGACTATAATCTATCTCTGCGCCAAATTTCATCCAGATCCGTTCAACCAATCTGATGTGATTGAGTTACAAACATCCATCCATCCAAACTTTCGTATTTATAATATTAATAGGATGCCTATAAAAAAATATACCTACAACTTTAATATTATTATTGATGACTAACTTGGGTTTTCAGCTTGAAACAATTTTAATTGGAATCAATTAAAAGTAAAATCGCCATAAATGAGTTTATAATGCAATGCGTCGATGACGTTATGTCATATATTTAACTCTTATGTACATAGTACGTACATACAGCATTATGTTCCTACCTCAATTTGCGTCAGTCTTTTCAGTTCGCTTTTTACGAGTTGAGTTTTGTGTTTTACAATATGATGTCCCAACTTATTTTTAAACGTGAAAGTTAAAAGTATATGTTTTTGTGTAAACCTTTTATTTTGATACTCCACTAGACAGGTTTGGTAGAAACTAATATATTGAACAAGCCAAAATTAGCATCTATAATCTGGCATTTTGGTTTTTTATACATAGCCGTTTAGTAGTTACTAGAGAACATAGGGTTGGGTATACATACATACATATAGAGGTATGTGATATGCTCCTGGCCGATTTCGGTCACGGCGGCCAATCTCTTCGAATTTATCCAACTGCGCAGGAGATATTATAGTGCACAAGTGTACGCGCAGACACAACGTGCACTCTCTATCCCTGTCACTCTAACATTCCGGTGGGACAATTCGTCATTCGCGGTGAGAGAATAGGCGCAACACTCGGCACAGATGTGAAAAACTCGGGGCACCTACCGAGAATTTCTTAGCAGAAAGACTCGGCGACAACTATAATTAGCCAATACGTTCGGCGCACTCTGGGCCATCAGAAATTTATTAACGCTGATTGGCTAATTCTTTCACCACGATGGCATTCTTGCCATCCACACGAGAAGAAGAAGAAGATTAGCCCAACCCGGGATTTGAACCAAGGACCTCCGGGTCTGTAGCCGTACATGCTACCACACTACCGAGGCAGTTTAAAGATATATACATACATACTAACAAACAAAATTACACATATATTTTAACCTTCAAGTTTTACCGCAGTCAGATAAAAAATTGATCGACGTGATTTTTTGCTTAGTTATTAATCATTATATAGTTTCGGCCCAGGACATTAACATATCCCACGACATTAAATGGTTTCCGAAGGAATTATAATATATTTGAGTAAATACTTATTTTATTACAGGTTACTAAGTTACACACTAGATATAAACATCCGGTTCCGTTCGGTGTCCGCCAACGGCCTGCTAGTGTGGAGCGGGCGCGTGTCGCCGCCCGGAGACTTCTTGTCTCTGGCCGTTGAAAACTCTGTGCTTGTTTTCAGGTATTTGTAATATTAATTCGCTTTCTTAACTTCATTTGTAAGTATGTAATCAATTCTTGGAAATCAATTTTTGTATCGGAACATACTGGTCGGTCATATCGATTTTTTTCTGAAAATGTCGATTCAGATGAGTATATGTAAAATAAAATAATACCATAGAGCTGCTCCGGTGATCGAGCTAGAAGGTGGATGGTGAAATGCTTCTATGGCTTTACGTATAAGGGGCCATTCATTAATTACGTAAGGACAATTTTGGCCATTTTTGACCCCTTAAGAGTACATAAGATTTCTCGGACTCTCCCTTCTTCTTACGTAAGATTTTATTTGGTTTTAAAAAATGATTAATTGCACTAAAACTCATAATTTAACGTAAATCAAAGATTTTTATTTTTGAAATTGTACATTAAAAAAGAGAAATTAGATCTCAGAGGAGTTTTCCCCAACGATTAACTCTCAAATACGTACGTATCTACCTGTTTGACGTTTTATAGTCATTTAAAAATGTATATTTTTAATTCATTATGAAAATATTTATTAATGTTTAATTTAACATTATCTGACCTGACCTGAGTATAATGTGTTATCTGGTTTAAAACCCAATACAAATAAAACTTAGCAATCTCTCAGTGACTTTAATTATTTACTAGAATGTAAGTAAATCTTAATATTGGACCAAATTCGGTGTTTTACAGTAACATACTCTTATATCTTAAAATATTAAGTGGGCAATTTTTTTATATGTATGTATATATATATACAAAAATTGGGGTTTTTCAGAAAATACACCTATTTATATAGACTTATAAAGCAAGATACACGAAATAAATGCATACATATATATATATATATATATAATACTTTCTTAGATTTACGCAAATATTTGACATTTTAAATAAAATAAATATATACATATATACATTTATTTCGTGTATCTTGTTTTATAAGTCTATATAAATAGATATCTTTTCTGAAAAACCCCAATTTTTGTATCTATTCCGAAAAAACGCCGCGCAAAACTCGGTCGCCCAGGTACTATAAATATGTTCAATATATTTATTATTTGAAATAATATTATTGCAGATATGATTTAGGAAGCGGGGAAGTAGTGATCATAGCGAACCACACTAAACTAGACGATGGGCTGTGGCATAGAGCGAGAGCAACGAGGTGATACATTGATTATTTCATTTCTTTGTTTATAAATCTTTTATTGTATTTTAAGTGGTTTACATATGAATATTTTTTCTATAAAAGCAATAAATAGCAGCAACACACAATGATAATTTCTTCAGAAGCTATTGACATAAACAAAAATGTCTCTGAAGAACATACGTATATCTCTATATTAAAGTCCTATTCAGTACCCAGATATGCTTATATGATAAATTAAATTCAATGTTTTTTTTTTTCAGAAACAGACAAGCTGGAGTATTAGAAGTGGACGGTTTGGGTTCCGTCGGCAAAATATCACCGGGAAAATTGAAACAGTTGAATACGCAAAATGGCCTTTACATAGGTAGGTAGTTAAGATGTTAATAATAAAGATAATACTAACTAATACTAAATGATAAAAATGCATATTCATTATTTTATTTCGTTTAGACCAACTCGATTTCTTTTAGTATCTGAGAGAAAGATTCAAATATGCGTGATGACGAATTTCGGTATTTCCGCAATCCGCTTATTAATAAAAAATTACAACAGCATTATTGGGTTTGAAAACAAAATTATTTACAAAAATAAGTTAAAGAAGTAAAGAAAAAAGTAAAGTCGGTTTTTTTTATTTTTGTAAATTATTTTTTATTTACAACATTTTAGTTTTGGTCAATACGACGTATGTTTCATCAAAATCGGTTAAGTAGTTCAGTAATTTCTAAGGAACAAAGGATCCGACATACATACATACAGGTCAAACACATAAACCTCCTTTGGGCTTCGCCTCAGTCGAGTAAAAATTATTTTTCCTTGCCAGGATGAGTTGAGAGAACGTGCATTTGAGTGACGATAAACTTATTTCTTATTACTATATTTTACTCCAATATTATAAATATGTGGTTATCTCTAATTTGGTTATCTTATAATCTTATGCAAGAACGTGACTCAGATAAAATAGTAAATTCGTTATAAATAAATTCTTGTCAAATCTAAAAGTAGGAAATTTTAAAGGAAATTAAAAAAAAACTCCAAGAAAAATTATTAATTTTAACGCATTTATTTATTTGTATGCGTCCATAAAAATAGTTTTATAACAATTTTAAATATTCGCGTAAACTTAAGTTATAAGTAAATATTAAATGTGCTATAGTTTGTACGTAAGTTCGTTGTTTCTAAACGTTAATTCTCCATGTTTTTATATTATATTGCCAATGGGAAATCCCATCAGACTCACCGCTTATCTATACAGATAAATAAAATTGGAGTGTCTGTTTGTAATATCAAAATAACATCTTTTTACTAAATGCATATAAAATTATATACGGTACTTATAAGCAAACACAATTTTTAACATTTTTGTCTCTCTGTTTGTCTGTCTCCGAATCTAATCTCTAAAAAAACTAATAAGGTAAGGTTGGATAAGTATTGACGGAACTTTTACTGGAAGATAGCTGATGTTATAAGGAGTACCTTTAGCTACTTTTATTTTAGAAAAAGTATAATTAGAGTACCGTTTAAAAAAATTAAAACGTACTTATGCCCGATTTCACCAACAACCCATAAGCTGCCACCTACGTATGGGATCCCTAGCTTAAAAGTCCCCTTAACTAGCCCCTAAATTAAATTTCGTTTTACGATCGTCTTTAAGCCCATATTTCGAGCACCTAAATTTAGGGGGCCTTTTAATATTTAGGTGACCCCTAACTGTCGGTGAAACAGAAACTGTCCCCTAACAGCCCCCTAACCATGCTTAGGGGATCCCTTAAACTTAGTTGACGTTAGTGAAATCGGGCATTAGTCTATTAAAAAATGTACCTATTATTTGTTTCAGGCGGTCTACCATCAATAGAAATGAACACAATGGGTAAATATAAAAGCGGTTTAATTGGATGTGTCTCACAAATATCACTTAGCGGAGATTTTGATATTCCCCTCTCCTTGTCGAAGTTGCCACACACAATAACTAATAATGTTGGACGATGCACACCATAGGCATATTTAAATGGCAACTCTTGGTTTTTTTCATACATATATTGTTTTTGTTTATTAAATTATATGTTATTTTATTTTATTTCTATCACAAGAGAGAATTTTGTACTAAATATAAGCTTAATAATAATGATTGTTTCGGAATATAGCCGTCGTCTTTTTTGAATGACACTAAAATTGATTCTTCATTACATAAGGAATATGTTTTTTTTTTGTTTGAAAAACTCCGTACTCTACATATCATTAAATAACATCGGAGGCAATAAAACAGTAGTGTTTGAATGAATAAAACTCGAATAACTATAAATTACTTAAAACCTATTTAGTCAATTTAGAGAAAAAAAAACAGCTAAATCTTGAAACTTTCACACTTTACCAAATTGTAAAGAATCCCTTCTTCGTTCATTACTGAATATAAAAACTTTTCGAAGTGCTTTACTATCTAGTAGATATGAAAATACTATTTGTAATATTAAATTAAATAAAAAAATCTAGTCGTACAAGTGATTTGCACGCGTCCTGAGTTTTTTAGTTACCATTTAGTATATAGTTCACAATTTGTTACGAGAGTGTAATATAATATAAGTACACATTAGCGTTTGTATATGGGAATTTTCATATGGACGTGGTTTAGAAAGATGTAAGTAGCTAATAAAATAGCGGTATGATATAAATTATGGAGCTTCTATATTAAGATGTGTCATTTGCTTTGTTTGCGTTCGCTTGTCAGAAGGAAGAAACACAGTTAGCACCATTATAGTCATTAATAGAATTATATATATCTTGTAGAGTAATTTCAAATGCGCTTTATATGTCTTTACATAGAACTATCCATGTATTAGAATCTGGATTTTGTTAAGAGATGAGCGGTAGCGAATGATTTTCAGTAAAATCGATATTGTATTTAAAAATTCGAAGTTATAAAATCATTTATTTAACATAAAATCGATTTTGTAAGAATTAAGTATACGAATATCGATTATTTTACTGATATCATTCGTAATTTCACATCTCTATATCTAAGTGAAATCATTGTTTCATATACCTAAATGTTGTAGATTATAATTTGATTCATACATTTTATCTCAGTGTATAAATTCAGACCAAAGTAAACAATAATTAACCTAGCTTAATACCAGTTGTGTTTATTGAATAAGATTTATCCCATCGTTCCTGCGGGGCTTATGTTTCACCAATAATTTTGTCAATTAAATACTTCACAGGGTTAAAATTATTTATACGAAAACATATCTTCGTTATGGTCTCTGCGTCATTTATTATGTATTTATGCGATTTTGTGAGTTATTATTGATTTTATATTTATTCAAGCATTAGCATTTTAAATGTAAAAATAACAGTAATAAAATAACATGTAAACAATCCAAACTTTTTATTATATCCTTGAAAATACATTGTTAAAAATACATATTATTGCCTAGTCAGTTTGTTTATACATTTTTACAGATTTTTATAATATAAGCAACCGATCTCAAGTGTTTTACTTTATTTTAGTAGATTATGTAAGTTTTTTTTTTAATTATATTATGTAGATCTTGTGAAATACGCATAGGTTGACTAGCATTAGTTTTGTATGTGAGACCTGTCCGATGTATTATACGCCGTTATTTGTACAAAATTATATCAGTAAAATATAATAAAACATGAGTGTTTCATTTTAATATTTTAATTCGTATTCCAAACTATAACTCGCGTCATCTAAAAAGAACGCTGGCTGTCAAGCTGCGCAGAAGCGAATCAAACATATTTTAATAATGAATAGAATTCTATTTAATGATATTCTATCTAATATATTTTTCAATGTCCCTAGCAATAACTAAATATGAAAAATAAAATAATAGGCTTAGTACTTTTGTGCGCGAGTATACCCATGCGCAAACATACCCCTTCCACTTTCTTCCAGCGTTCTTTTTAGATGACGCGAGTTATACTCTATAATAACAAAATAAAAACGTGCGTGTGTGTGTGTGTGTGTGTGTGTGCTTACGTACGCACGTAAGAAGTTATACTTCTTTGGTGTAACAGAACAAACAGATTTCTTCCCGTACCTATGTCATAACACTCTGTAAAAGGAATGCAGCTAACTTCATCATGTCGCTTTTTGGCTGTCGGTGTGCGCGCGCATCGTAAAAATTTTATTTTCATATTCTTTCCAAACGTACCAAAAGAAGTATAACTTCAAAAAACTTAATTTTGTAGTTTTTAGTAGGTATTTGTTTAATTTCCCGTAATTTTATATATTATCGTAATTTGGTAATTATTTACAAACATACTGATTATTTTTGTTAATATAGTTTGTATGTCCAGTCTTTACGTTTACACACTTTGACTATTAAAGAATGGGCATGTTTTTTAAATAACTTATAAATAACTGTTTTAATAAATATATGTAGTTAGTTTATTATTATTACCCCGATTTTATACATAAATTAATAAACAATCATGCATAATCTGTCCGAAGAAATGGTAATTTTCTATCAAATTATGAGATAGCTTACTAAACCCCAGTAAGCAATATTTTGAATGACTCACAGTTCGCTTTCCGACGTAAAATCCAACACACGAAACGTAAATGTGAATGGAATAAATGTTCTCCCCACTACAATCATACTATCCAGACGGCAACATAGCTCTTCGGCCATTCCTCTGATAATGTTGCTAGTTGCGAAAAATAAAATTAAAGTCGGTAAAATTGTAACAGAATATTAAATGTAATTATATATTTATTATTAAAAAATATATAAATATTTATTTTTTCAAATATTTTTTAATAACAACTTATAATTTATCATTGTCGTCGTCAGTGGTTTTTGCTAAATTAATAGCAATACATACAGTGTGTTAAAAAAACCCTGTCCGATCGGAAACCAGTGTATAGGTATCCCAATCACATGACCAAATAAAATAAGAAATATAAAATATTCATGATAGTAAACATATTAATGAAATTTAAAAAGTTCATTTATTTTGCTAATTTCCCCACAATTCTAGGAAATTTTATAAATGTACAACACTAATTTCGGCGGTATTATAATCATGTGGCGGCGGCATCTTTGATGTGTGCCGACAGACGATGCGCCGCCCGTTGTCAAAGGTACCGCTCGGCACGTGTAGAGGCTATCCCGACCTTGAATTACATACTTACGATCACTATTTGTTTGCTTTATTATTTATTTCACTTAAAATTATGTCAGTTTCGCGAAACATTGCATCCGAGTGCACGTGTTGGAGAAATTGAGTTTTAACTATGTCGTATACGAATGAAGAGTACTGTAATATGATAATGGGTTTGGGGAGGAGTGACTGCAATTATGCAGAGGCTCATAGAGACTATGAAGTGCGTTTCGCAGTTCCGCGGGGTACCACGGTGCCGTCAGAGCGTGCGGTTCAACGTCTTCACAATCGTATGTACACCACGAGCAGTGTTCACGGCTACGAAACGCATCATGCTGATACAAGGACACCGCGTATCGACATGGATATTGAAGAGCAAGTGCTTGTGTTATTCAATGAGGACCTCACCCGAAGTACTCGTTCTGTGGCACGACAACTGGGCGCTTACCACGTTCAGGTGTGGGAAGTGTTAAAAGAAGATGGCCAGCATCCTTTCCACTATCGTCCTGTCCAAGCTTTACTACCTAGTGATTATGAACCCAGAGTGGAATATTGTGCATGGATTTTAAGGAAAATTGAAGAGGACGCTGAATTTTTAATAAGGGTTATTTTCACCAATGAATGTTCTTTTCATAGAACAGGCGTCTTTAACAGCCGGAATGAATATGTGTGGTCGACGCTAAATCCTTACGCCCATAATCCGTGATAACCTTTTGCGACGGTGTCAAGCCTGTATCACTCGTGGAGGCCGTCACATGGAACAACATCTCCATCACAGCCATCGCATTGGCGTCCTCATCGAATAACATACTACCTACTTACAAAATACAAATTGATAAGCGTAGTTTGAACTTTGAGGTCAACTGCGTTCATGACCTTATGACGTCACCAGTATTGCTATGTAAGTTTCACAATGTATGAAATATTTTAAATTTTTAAGCGGGGTAATTTTTTTTTACTTGGAATCTGTTTTTTTTTACATAAATAGAATCGAATCGCGATACCTAATAATACCTTCACGGGTCGGACAGGGTTTTTTTAACACACTGTATATTGTTTTTTTATCTTTTTACTTAAGTATACATTCAAACTGCGTAATTAATTAGTGAAACGCTTTTTTTATAATTCTTCATTTTATTGTCAAATTTTAACCTTTTGTATTTATTGTTTATAGGGATTTTGTTTTATGAAACCAAGGGATACTACTTATTGGATATGAACTATAGATAAAATTATTGGACTTGGTATTATAAATACAATCGTTTATATGTACATGTGTACTGTGTAGTCTATACGTTTGTAACTTCTTCACGCTAAAACGGCTGAACGAATTGGGATGAAATTTAGACACACACTTTAGCCTACATCAACACATAAGCTAACATTAAGCACTCGAGCGAAAAAGTAAAAGTCGCTAATTAATAATTATAGAACAAAATAAAATGAACTGGGCAAAATTAAATTTTATATGGTAACATTTACGATTTCCCTACTCACAAATTGAAAGCTGTCAAGCGTCAGTCGCATAATGCCTTCGTGGATGGAGGTTGTATTCAAATTTAAATAAAATTACGAACTTATTTTAAAACTTTTAAAAGAGCGTTGTACCTCGTATGAAATTTCCGTTTTTTGATTGATTTGTTTTCTTTTTCAATATACAATTATAAGAATATTAAAGTGATTCGTGGAAAAGTGTGTTTATGTGAAAACATTTATATTGGCTGTGTAGAAATCTACGTGTTTTGCGACGGACCGGTCTTTGTAAGTACAAACTTATATACGTCGAAACTCGAAAGTAAAAGTATTTACTTTGACGATCATAAAATACATAGCGTTAAGTAATTTCTGCCAAAAAATGGCTTTAGTCT